TGTATATATTTGGGGGAGGGGGGGGGAATTCCCCTGTCGGGCCAGACAGGAGTCACCCTCAAGGAGCCTTGAGTTTGACACGTGATTTAGAGTTACCAATATTTTTCTGAGGGCAAAAAAACAGAGTACCTAAAGCAGTGGGGCCTAAAGTCAGTCCTCAGGGTCAGTGTCCTGCATGTTTTTGGAGCTGCCCTGGTTCAACACAGGTGAACCTTAGGAGTGCCTAATTAGTAGGCCTCTGCAGACCTTGATGGCATACTGAGGAGGCCTATTAATTAAGCACTCCTTAGGTTGAGCTGTGTTGAACCAGGGCACCTAAAACCTGCAGGACACCGTTGAGGACTAACTTTAGACACCACTGACCTGGAGAAAACACACATGTACATGGACAGAACATGTAAACTCCTCCAGGCCAGGTGGTGATCCTGCAACCCTCTCACTGAGAAGTCACAGCTCTAAACATCGTGCCACTCTGCTCTGTCTTTTCCTAACATAAAATTTGTTTAGTCCAAAGAAGGTGGGCAATACTTCAAAATGCATAAATGCAAAGTCAACTTTGACTTTGACATATGCAGAATTTTCACAACTGAAGGTATCATGGTTACTTGATTGTGGTATAGAATTGAACTATATGCCTGGAAAATACATAATACCCTTCTTTAACATAGATTTATCCACCAAAACAGCAAATATATGTGTCTTACATTTGTATGAATAAAACCTTTGTTGTCAACAGGGCGCGGGGACAGATGAGCACGCTCTGATCGAGATCCTGGCTACCAGGAGCAATGAGCAGATCCAAGCCATGAATGCAGCCTATCGGGACGGTGAGTTTGGAAACCAAACGTAAGGATCTTGAAGGGTCCAGTCCCGTTCAGTAAAACATTTCACCGTATCGTCCTTCACAGGCTACAAGAAGACTCTGGAGGAAGCCCTGCACTCAGACACATCAGGCCACTTCTGCCGCATCCTGGTTTCTCTGGTGCAGGTAACCATTGTCATGAGAACTCTGACTGTGTGTCACTTCCACGCCCACTCGCTTTGCTTGCAGTCTGGTTTGTGCTCTCAGCTGCAGCTCTGTCTGACACAAAACAAAGATCGACTTCTTCACCTCCATACAATTTCTTTCAGAATGTCTTGACGTGGTTTTTTTTAATGGAAGTTTGTGGTTAACCAGTGACATTCAGGAGATGAGAGGTGGGCGTGTTCAGGCTGACATTTGCCCATCTTTGCTTTGGTCAGGGTGCAAGAGAGGAGGGCCCCGCTGACGTGGAGAGAGCCTGTGAAGATGCTCAGGTGACGCCTCGCTCAGTGCACTCAGTTTTACGATGAGGCCTCTTGGGTCATTTGGACCCATGGGCAGCTGGTGGGGGGAGGGTTGATGGTTTTCTCATGCATACCGGAACAATCGAAAGAAGTGTTTGTTTGTTTTCCTGTTATCAATTCCTGAACCTAAACAGGAACTTGCGGACGCGTGCAACGCCGACTCTGACGACATGGAGATGAAGTTCATGAGTATCCTGTGCACCAGGAGCTTCCCGCATCTCAGGAGAGGTGGGGACCAAACCTGAAGGACAAATCATCGTTTTATAAATTCAGCCAACGTCAGCATGACTCAGCTCACAGTAACTGGTCTGGATGTGTCTCCTCGTCACAGTGTTCCAGGAGTTTGTCAGATGTTCCAACAAGGACATCGAACAGATTATCAAGAAGCACATGTCAGGAGATGTGAAAAATGCCTTTTATGCGATAGGTAATAATTCCATTTGAGCTGAGGCTTCATTCTCATACTGGTGTACCTGTTTCTGCGTGTTCATTTGTCTGTTAGCAAAGTATCTCATGAACCAATGAACACACCTTAATGAAACTCTTAAATTTTAATCCTTTCATAAACATCATCAACTGATTCACTTTTGGAGTCAGCCRGATTCAAGATGGCCACAGCAGCTAATCAAATTTAGCTAACATGAAAAAAGCTGTAACTCAGTCACTTTTACAGATGCAAAGTTAAAATTTGTTTTGATGGTAGATGAGAGTTGTCCCCATCACATACTCGGAGTGCAAACAGGATGCTTGAGATTTTTAATCAAAACTTAGGCTATAACTATCAGAGTCAAGACTGTCTGTTAGCAAAAATATCTCATTAAACACTGAACAGATTTGAATAAAACTCTGAAAAAAGTAATCCTCTGATGAACATCTGGAACTGATTCACTTCTGGAGTCAACCTGACTCAAGATGGCTGCCACAGCTAATCAGCCTTAACAAACACAAAAATGGTTACAACTCAGTCGTTTTTACAGAGGCAAAGCTGAAATTTGATGGGGTGGTAGTTGAGAGTCATCCCCATCATAATCTGAGTGCAAGATGTTAAGTGAGATTTTCATTTAAAACTCAAGCATTAACTATCTGAGCCATTACTGTGTGTCTGTTAGCAAAATATCTCTGGATCACTGTATGAACTTTAATGGGACTCTCAGGAAGTAATGACTGGAACTAACTGATCATAGCAAACAAAAAACAGCTACTGCTTTAGTTCAGTGTCTAGAATATCCTTCTGTTAAAGCATCAAATATTTTTATTTAAAAAAATTCTAATTTTATTATTTTCTGTCCCTTTCTTTCAGTCCGTAGCGTGAAGAACCAGCCGTCTTATTTTGCAGACCGCCTGTATAAAGCTATGAAGGTGTTGCATGTTTTGCATTTAGGTTTTCGCTCTTTTCATATCATCAGGTGTGAATAAACAGAATAAGTCCTGATGATGTCCTCCTCAGGGTCTCGGGACAGATGACAGAGCGCTGATCCGCATCATGGTGTCCCGGAGTGAAATTGATCTTTTCAACATTCGCAAAGAGTTCAAGGAAACACACGACGCCTCCCTGCATGAATTCATCCAGGTAGAGACTGCCATCGTAAGTCTGAATATTAGCTCACTAACCCTCCTTGTTTGCTTCTTTGCTCTCGTCTGACTGTGTTTGTGAATTTTGATTTTATTTGTCATCTCACGGCCTTCGTCTGGCTCTGTGTGAGTGTGCTTTTGCACGTCTTTCAGCAGCCGACGCCGCTGCCGCTGCCGCTGCTGCTGTGGTGAGGTGGTGGGGTACTTTAATCTACAGCTTCCTGCGGTGGACTGCAGGCATGTGGCTACTGCACAGCTGTTTAGGAATTTCCCTAACCCGACTTCCTCTTCACGTCTGCCGTGTGATTGGCTGGCGGCTGCAGAGATAGGAAGTTCCTAAAAACAGCTCTATATTAAGTTAGAGATGAAATCACRGTGACACCAATACAAAGCAGCAGAATGCCCTGGATTTGCTTTGGCAGAAAAGTTATCAAATTGTGCAAGAAGGAAAGAGTTGCAATATCATGGTTTGTTTGAAGTTGGTGTCTAACGAACAAACTTGTCTCGTGCTTTTGCTTTTTAGAGCTTTGTATGCTCATATGCTGGACTGTTAAATGCAGTTGCTGTTTTGCAGTTTATTTTAAATTCCACGTTTGCAAATGTATATTGGAAACGTAAAATTTAAACAGACGCATTTAAAAATGTTACAGGAATTATTGCAAAACTGTTTCTCCTTAAACGTGTGAATCAGCCTACCAGCAGTTTCCAGTTGTTTGTAGAGATTAACAGAGGGGCGTCACCTGAGGTGGGTGGGAGGTGAAAATAAACTGGCGTTTTAAAAGCAAAATGTCATCATGTTGTGCACAGATAAACTTTARAACAGTGTTTTGTATACAAAAATATTAAAATGTAGTTTCTAATCAGCTGAACTGCAATTACATTTTGTAATATGAGTTTATTTTTTGTTTCATAAAAGGTTTTTCTAATAACACTACAGGTTGTGTGCTAGTCCAGCACTTACAGGACATTAATGAGCGTGGTCATATTAATGTAAAAATAAATAGGAAGCTAGCACCAGAGGTGTCAAGTAACTAAGTACAAATAC